CTATTTGGAGCCCTGGGTGACTTTTTTTTTTTCTTTATGGGTAATAATGAGCTCTTTTGGGAGCTTAATACTTTCGTAAGTAGGGAGATTCTTTTTTATTTTGTTTTATTTTTAATTACAGTTTACATTCAATATTATTTTGTATTAGTTTCAGGCGTACAGCATAGTGGTTAGACAATCATGTACTTTACAAAGTGTTCCCCCAATATTTCCAGTACCCACCTGGCACCATACATAGTTATTACAATATTATTGACTGTATTTCCTGTGTTGTACTTTACATCCCTGTGACTTTTTTGTAACTACCAATCTGTACTTCGTAATAGTAGAGAGATTCTTTAGGGCAACTTGCAATTGTTAAAGCATTTTTTCTCTTGGTTGGTTAAACCAAAATCTTTTCTCCATTTATACTTCTGGTTAAATATGTGAAAGCAATTACCACCTGCCTAGTAGCTCCTAGATGTAGATAGAGCATTCTTAGTTCTTTCAGCCATTTGACACTTAACATGGTTTCTAGTTCTCTCTGTAGTTCAGTTTTCTACACATATTTTCACTTGACAGTGAATGCCTTTCTTAAAATATGAAGCTCACACTTCAGTAATCTGGATGTGATCAGATAATAGATCTACTTTTTAATTAAAACCATTATTACTAATATTTGTATATTCCTTTCAGTTTATAGAGTTCTTTTATAATAATATTTTGTGGGGTAGGTATCATCTCCATTTGTAAATGAGGAAACTGAGGCTCAGAGTGTTTATCATTTGTGATTTGCCCAATGTCATACTATTTCTAATTTAGACATTGTACATCTATTTATATGATCCTAATGTTACCTTTTTAAAAGTTCCATTACCTAATTGTAATATTAAATATTACAAGCCTATTAAGGTTTTACAGGCTAGACCATTTTTCATACATAGGACTAGTTAGATTCTTCTGTCGTATTCTTTCCTAATGCATTTTTTAAAAATCTGAATGTATACCTGTTAATTTCTATGTGTTTGGATTTGGTATAGTTAGAGTGTATCCTATTTGTATGCCACCATATTACAAGTTTGTCTTATGAAAGAACTATGTGATTATAAATGATAGACAAATGTTATTAGTAATATCATTTATAACACTTGTGTGAAGAAATTTAAGAATAGTTGAAGTTTTAATTATAGATTTTGTCATCACTAAAATTGGCTTTTATTGCCCTGGCAAGTTGCTCAGTTGGTTGGAGCGTCATCCTGTACACCATTGTGGGCTCAATCCCTGGTACCGCGCATATGAGAGCCCTGGGTGACTTTTGTGAGTTAAATTTTGTCTGATGTAAGCACCACTTTGAAGGAAAAGTAGTGGTTTTTTGTTCCTCTGCTGAATACTTAATTTCTCTTTTGATAGTGTGAAAAACCTATGAACCCTGCTCCCAGAAAAATACACGCATGGACAGTTTTACTTGCAATGTTAGACTTTAGGAATCCCCCTTCAAGCTCCCTTCTAGGTGATATGTGTGACAAAGTATGAGTTAGATCTCAGATAACTTTTCAGGAACCAAGCTATTATAAAAAGCATATTTGCATTGGGTGGACTAAAATTGTCTATTCACAGAGCATTATGTAAGCCTGTTGCTTGGTCACATTTTAATTTCATTATGAATTAATCTAACCTGCATCCTTACTGTCATGCAGGAAATGATTGACGAAGCTGATAGAGATGGAGACGGAGAAGTCAATGAGCAAGAGTTCCTGCGCATCATGAAAAAGACCAGCCTTTATTGAGATTATTTTCTTCTTTTCTACTACAAGCACACACAACTAGATTTAGTGCCTGCCATTGTGTGAAGCCTGGTTTTTGAAACATAAGTAGGTTTTTCCCCACTAACCTCCCTATATAACTTTAGTAACAACCTCACATCTATTTTAGACTTTTGCAAGTGTTCTTTGACAATAAAGTTCTTTGTGAGGTGACCTGCTGCTTACTTTAATTCTCCAAAGCAGAACAAGAGCACACTAGAGTAGGAAAAAGGGTCCTAAAGTTTTCACCCATCTGCCATTCTGCCTTGTATCGCTTCACTCTCATCATGCATTGCCACATTTATGCCACCACAGAAAGACTTCTTAGACATGCATGTGTCGTACCTGTGTCACCACAAGCAGCAGGCATCCCTTCAATGGTTCTGGTTTTAATTGACACCTGAGTGCAGCTTTCTCTTTAAAAAAATCCAGTGAACTCTCTCACTTGCATTTGGATGTGTTTTTGCTATTTGTTTTGTCTTGAAATAAAGCCTTTCTTATTTTGAGCTTTTGTTCTCTAAGGCTGAGTTTTTTAGCCTTGACTATGAGTTAATCTTCTAAACCATTGTGTTGAAGGCAGCCTGGTAGATCCCAACCTCCTTACCAGTCTGTGGGCTGAAAATGAAATAATCCTTTGCTATTGCCATGAATTATTTTTTGCCTTGTGAATCTGTTGGTGTGCAAAACTAGAAGAATCCATTTCACATAAGCCTAATGATGCCCTAAAAATAGTTTTGACAAAGTGTAAGGCCAAAAAAGAGTTACTGATGGTTTGTACTTGGACAAATTGGGAAAAGCCAGGTTATTATGACAGTAGGTTTAGTTCAGCCAATCTCTGGTCAGTTTATTTGCTAGATGGTGTCTCAGAATATTTGCACTAGGTTGGGCTGGGTGACCTTGTTCAGCTCCCTTCTGGTCCTACATGGGATGACCTATAAGAGAATCCCTGGCAGATGGCATTAAGGTCTCTGCTACAGGCTGAGGGTAGGGTGCATGAAGGGCCAGGGGGGATGGAAAATGAACAAGGATGTAATGCTCCTTTACCCACACAGGGTGGGAAGAGAATGGATTTCAAACTAGTCCTGAAATAGGGTTGCCTGATTTAGCTAATAAAAAAAATCTAGGTCAGTTTGAATTTGAAACCAACAAATTTTTTTAGTATACAGGTATATCCCATTTGGACTTTGCTGTTGTTTATTCGTTGTTGATCCAAAATTTCACTTTACCTGGGTGTCCTGTATTTCAACTAACAACCCTAGGTGGGGAGCATGTTAAAGAGGTATGGCCCTGGGCCTCAGTCCCTGGACACTGGCATCCTGGAGGACTTGCCCCCCCCCCATGAGTCTCCTGCAGAAGGACCCTGCAGAGGGACCACTCCTTGAGAAACACTGGGGCATGTGGGAGGAGCCCAGAGTAGCCTTAGACCTTGATTCTCACACAGGCTCCACCACTTCCTGGGTAATTTGAGGCAAGCTACCTCTCTGGGTAACTCAGGTTCCTTGTCTATGCAATGGAGACAAGAGTTGTGCTGAACTCAGAATCGTTGGGGGTTCAATGAAAATATACATAAAGGACCTGGCTTCAAGGTGTCCAAGACACCTTGGACACATTTCAGAAGTGTCCTCACTCCCATTCCTTTGGTATTGTCACATAAGTTTTGTTGTTAAAGTTGGGTCCATGAAGCTTTTATGATTACTGTCCCCAAAGTTAAATTGACATTTCTTGGGAGGATTTGGCCTTTGTCATATTGCTATTTTCTAATAAGAGTCATATGATCTGATAAAAGACAATATTGGAAAGGAGTGAAAAGATTGGGCCCTACTCCCCATTTTACTGTTGACTGTCACCCTGGAAACATATCTCTTGGTTAATGTTGTCATAAATGAAATAAAGTCAGGCATCTATTGAGGGAAGGGAGAGTGGCAAGTAACATCTTATCCCTGAGAATAAAAATTAGCATAAGGTGCTGGCCATATCCATGCCCAGCAGCCATTCTAAGATAAATTGGCAGTTGCTCAGTGGAGGGGATAGGGACAGAGAATCAGTGGATGAGGGACTGGAGCAGAGTTGCAGGGGGTTCGGGAAGATTGAGATAGAGTGGGAGCTGGGGCCAGTTCATGTGGAGGCAGAAAAGAGTTGCAAGGGAGTGGGAGGATGTGGATGGAGAGAAGGCTGGGGTCAGTTTGTGGGGAATTGGACCAGATAGATGGAGTGGCTAAGAGGGATGGGGAGGAAATGGTTGGAGATCTCAGTGCAGGTGTAGACGATGTGAGTGGAGGGTGATGGGGAGGGAGGGAAGTAGAGGTCATCTCAGGGGCTGGGCCAAGAGATGTCGGGGAGATGGAGGGTACAGATAAATAGAAGAGGTTAGTTTCTGTGGGGCTGGACCAGGGAGATGTAGGGGGAGTGGTTAGGTAAAATCTAGGGGATGTTGGGTGGGTAGGGAAGGAAGGGTAGGGTAGGTCAGCTCATGGGGATTGTTTACAGAGCTGGAGGGTGGATGGGACGGCCAGGGAGA